ATTTTAATTCATCTTATAACAAGGAAATATTTTGTCTGACATTGAATTTGTTGGCATTTACAAACAACCAAGTTACTTATTATACAGAACAAAAGCACTCGAGTTCCAAGGAACACGACAGATCAAAGGATGGTTTATTTTCCAAACAGTTCTATTTAGCACTTCCTAATGATCTCTTATTGATGTCACCTGTCAACTTAAAATTGGCTTTCCAAACAGTTTGCCTCCCTTTGACTCAGGTTCTAGGCACTGAATGCATCTTTGGTTAGTTAATCAAAACAAATAATTTTCAATTAGGTACAGCTATGCCTTAAATAAGCCATCAATACTTTCAAGAAATGAGAGACATCAAGTGAATGCAGGGTACAACTTGAGATAACACACGTATCCTGACCGATTTGATTTATACAGGTGTACGCTCAGGACAGTGACCCACCACCCAAAATGAGAAACTGCTCTTGCCTCCCTTCATCCAAAACCAGGCACTAGTCCAGGTGCTACAGAAACATCAGTCCAACAGAGAAGGAGGAGGAAGAAGAGGGAGGGAGAAAGAAATTCTCGCCTTCACCGAGCATGTCTGGGAGACGGACAATCGGATGCTCGGGTCAAGTATACCACGTTAGGAGGTAGTGTGAGCATGGGTAAAGGGCATGCCAGGGGAACCGTGAACACAGGGGAGGGTCGCTGTGATGCTAACTAGGGCGGGCAGGGAATGCTTCCCTGCCAAGGTGACATCTGAACAAAAGCTGAACAGGGTGACAGAGGAAGCCATGCAAGATATCTGTGGGAACGGTGTTCCAGGTGAGGAATGTGCAAGAACCCTGCGGAGAGATGAGGCTGAGCATGTCCACAAGCAGCAGCAAGAAAGTCCTGGATGACAGTGACGGGGGAGAAAGGTCATGCGAGGCGAAGCCCAGTGTGTGGGGCTTTGGCTTTACTCTCAGTGAGGTGGGCAGCCCCTGGCTGATTTCAAGCAGAAGACAGCCACAACATGACTCTCATTTCAACAGGATCAGACAGGGCTAAGACTACATGATAGGAGCT